TATACAAAGATAAGATGTGATTTGCGGATGGTGGATTGTGAAAATGTTAAAAGGTGAATGAGAGGAGGAGGAGGAGGAGGAGGAGGAGGGAGAAAAGACCTTCAAAACGAACAACGCGTCGTTGTGAGCTTCAAGTTGAATTTCCTACCTTTTTTTCTCCTGCTATTTTTTTTTTAGGAAAAAAAAAAGGAGAAAAATATACCTATATATTTATATTCAATATTTCCAATAGGAATATAATAAAATCACAATCCGTTTAGTATAAAGGTACTCCGTAAGTAAAGACGCATTTAGTCCAGGTAATACTCCGTAGAATGCTTTGCATAGCCCCCTCTCTACTCGTTTGCTTTGCTTGCCCTTTTCTCGATCCCGATTTCCTCGTGATATCAGTATTAGTATCAGTATGTATCCGTAACGGCGTATTAAGTGAAAGTATCCAGTTCTTCCCTCTCAAATCGGTTCCCTGGTCCAATTCCAATGCACCTACTCCATACCCAGGAACCCCTTGACGCTGGTTGGTATCCTGACGTTGACCCAAGTCCACCTCCCATCCACCCGAAATCGAACGATGCCTCGTCTCCTAACAGAACTCTCTGCCAAAAAACCCATACCTTTCCAATCAATGCTATGCAATTAAGTCCCTTCTCGCCCCAACCCAATACCAACACCAACACCAACATCCATTTTCCATTTTCCAATACCCTTTCGTTCCAATTCAATGGCAGATTCTCTCCTGCGGCGGCCTCCACGGAACGCCCAGCACATCAAATATCCTCCTCTCATCCGCCCCCTCCACGAACTCCCCCTCATTGAGCTTCACCCGTCCCGGCCCACGCATGACATCCTTATACAAGCCCCTCTGATTCAGCCGCATCCCCTTCTTGCTCGCCAACAACCTCATGCTCCGATTGAAGATATCATCGCCCGTAAAATACAGCAACGCAGCCCCAAACTCGCTTTCGGGAACGATGAGAAAATCGATGCGGCGCCAGATGGGGTTGCCGGGCAGGACGCAGGCGCCGTGCCATTTGGAGCCGGATTGGTGCGGGACGGCGAGGGGGCAGACGAGGAAGGCGTCGTGGGTTAGGCGGGCGACGAGCTTGTTGAGGAAGGGAAGGAGGTCCAGGCTGGATTCTGTGCCACGTTTCGTGATGATGAAGTCGATATCTCCTGATGTGAGAGCCCCCCGTCGGTAGCTGCCACCGATAATGGCTTCGACCTGGGGATCGATCTCGTGCACGGCTTTCTTGACAATCTCACCTAGAGCTGTGACCTGGTCTCGAGGAATGCGGGTCTCAAAGTCATCGTAATGATCGAGACCAACCTTCTGGTTCTTGTGCAAATTCGGAAGAGCTCGCAAGTCATCGAGAGTCTTGTGTCCGGCTTGAATCCACTTGTCCGCCTGGCCCGGTCCCACTCCGTAAATCTTCAAAAACAGCTGGAGTGTCTTGTCATTCGGATCCAGCCGAGCATTGTCGAGTCGTCGTAAATGACCGGTGATTGCGATTTCCTCAATCTTGAGAGCAAGCCTGTGTCCAATAAACTGAAGTTCAATGGCCTGTTCGTATCTTGTGATCTTGACGGATTGCTTCTTGAGTGTTCCGACGGCCTTTCTGTAAGCCAATGTCCGCCATTGATCACGTATGCGCTCATAATAAGCTCCCATTTCTCCTAAGATCTCGATAGTCTGTCGATTTGGATTGTTCTCAAGGGCAATCCCGGTGCCTCCTTTCATACAGCTAAAGTTGTCCTGGTGAGAGGCTCCTTTATTTCCGTACTTCTTGCGTTTCTTACTAGGATACTTGCTACGTGCCCGCTCCTCCTCAGACCCTCCAGAGTCCGCAGGATCATCTCGAGTTGATGGTCGGTTTCCCACATCGTCATCATCCTCATCGTCATCGAGTGGTAGATATTCCAACTTCCGGGCCACGTCGATGAATTCGTCAAGAATATCACCTCGCTTGCCAGTCTTGATTGCAACATCAGGGCTTTGTTTGAGGGTTTCTGTCAATTGGAGCTCTTTAGCATAGTCGGGAACGAGCGAGACTTGGATGGCCGGGCTGAGCTGATCTTGCGATGGTCCGCCTTGCGCAGACCGCTGGCTTTGAGATGGTGTGTTCTCGGAAACGTGGTCTCCTTTCCTGGATTTCGCTTGCTTGAGCTGAAGAGAATATTCGGGGTTTTGAGAACATGTTGGAACTTCTGGCAACGGCTTTGGCTCTTCGATAGCTCTTTGGGGGTCTCCTGGGACTGCGAACTTCTTCTGTTTAGGGTCGACAGCGAATCTGCACTCGAAGCATACGATCAGAAACTCATCGGTGACGAGAGCAATACCTCCTGGGAACACGTCTGAGATGATCTTATCGGAGAGGTGCTTCATGACAAACTTGTGATCGTATCCTGTACCGTTCTCGACCACAACATGCGTGATCTCAGCTGTCCACTACAAATATATTAGTCGCGATGGGCATATTGTAAAGGGAGAAGGCGATGATAGAGAAGATAAAATAGGCGAGAGGAAAAGCGCTCCACTTAAGCACACACCTCTTTCGTCCACTTGGCCCCGAATCCCAGGGCTTTGCTGATACGGAGATCCCTACCTCCCTTGAGATCCGGAGGAATGTAGTAGATGACTATGCCATCAAGAAACCGTTTCCCCTCAGGCATCAGCTTGAAAGAAACCCCATTCGGATCCTTCGTGACTGCTGCTTTTGCAGTCCGCCCCCTTTTCTTCTTACTCTTAGCAATAAGCATGGCTTCGATCCCTTTACTATTATTCATGACGACCGAGCCGATGTTGGGAGTCGACACGCTCTTTTCAGGCATAGGCCGTGGGATTGTCGCTTGACTCGTGAGGTCGATCACTTCAGATGGGGAGGACACGATATCTTGAGTCGAGATATCATAGCGAAGTGAAGACGACTTGCGGACAATAGGTGCTTTTGGGGCGCTAGTGCTCGTGACAGGCGCCGAGGTGGTTCGGAGAATTCCTGTCGCTTTCGTTGACAAAGGCTCGCTTTTTCTCCGAGAGATATGAGATGGAGGCTCCGCTGGCGTCGGAACGGATTGCAATAAAGGAGGTTTGCTTTGCCTTAGGCAGTCCCAGGCGTCATTGGTATCTTCCTCGTCGTCGGAGCTGTCGTTCAGCGAGTAGAGCTGCCGATAATACTCTTCTTTATCCTGGTTTAAGGTGAGCTGAAGTCAATAAAAGAGGCTTATTGTTCTGATACCCACCATTTCGGCGGACATGCCACTTCATGTAAGGTGTTGCAGGAGGGAATACAAGATTGTCGAAAGTCAATGACACGGTGTCACGTGCGTCGAATGATTGCCATGACTTTAGCGACAGAACTGCCTGTCATCGACTACCCCATCAACTTCCTGCGTCGTCTGTAACCATACTTTATTAAAATCGGCCTCCAGATACTTGAATAAGGGATATTGGAATCCAAACAACGATGGTCATGACAGAAGTCAAATCTACGCCTCCGGTATTATTTACTCTTGACGATGCGAGCCGCAAGGCTGAGGGTCATTATACATATATCACTTGTTTAGGGATATCAAAGAAGCAAAACAGAAGCCGGAGAAGTATCAAGAATAGCGAGTGGTTTCCTGAATTGGTGGCGAGTGGGTACAGATGCATCAAGACCGGCCTTGATCCATAAAGGGCGGTAAGTTATAATCGTCAACCCCGATAACAATAACATTCAATCCCTCAAAACCAGCAGTCCTTCGCAGGCTATCAAAGCACTGCCAAACTTCAGACAGCAGACATCCACTCCAGCAAAGTCAGTATGTAACCTCAGCCTAGAGGGGTTTGAGAGGTTGAAAAGAGGGAGAATGCAGTACATACTTTCATGCGAGTGATGTCCGCGTCCCTCTGCCTCGCAGCTGGCCTGTATGATAACGACAGTCCATCGAAACCAATTCCACTAAATTTACGAACGGTTGTGAACACAGGCTGAGGCAACTTCAAAGTTGGGATGCGGGGCACTCGTCTCTGGGGTGTAGGAGAGAATTGACCAGGAGCGCTTCGCTGCACGGAGTCAGGATTGCGAACAACTTGTGAGGAAAATCAAACTTACCCATCGTCTGAAGGGGTTCCATCTACCTCTCGGCTGCACCACCCAAGCCTCGTCGTTCGCACCGTCCAGCGTCATGTGCCGGCTACCATCGGGTACCCTAGATGCCATGCTATCCCCAAGAGTCGCTGGTGAGGTTGTGCCACTCTTCTGCTCAAGTCTGGCCCTCATCTCTTGTGTCATGGGTGGAGGTCGTTTGCTTCTGGCTTTAAAGCACATGAGGCACTTGAGAAGGCCAAGCAGCAAGACCGAAGCACCGAAAACACCAATACATGAGTAGAGGATGATTGAGGCCTGGTGGTCCGATTCGCACTGGCGCCTTTCGCTACCTGTCGTGGCATTGCGGCAGTTCTTGATGCTGAGAATGCTACGTCCAGTTCGGGCGGAAGTCGGGTGAGTTTGGTTCTGAGACTGGATGGTATACTGTATCGGATGAATTGGCTCTGGTGCAGCAGCAAAGTGACCGGCCTCGGACGTGACATCTGGGCTGGTACTTCTCCAGTATGGCGGAATGTAGTGGTGTTCATCTACGACAGACCGTCTGAACTTCGAAGTTGCCTCTGAATGGACGAGGAGGCCCTTGGTATCGCCGCCAGGGTGATGGTTTGGCGGCCCACGGTGATTCGTCCATTTGAGAGGCGATCGCTTTCGAGTCAGAATCTAAAAGTGCCCCGAATGTCTGGCGACATTGAGAAGGAGAAATTGCCATAACTTACAGGCCGATGTTCGTCGGAATCCGTCTCCATTACCCTCTCTACGCCGGCAATGTTCATTTTACAGCGACCCGCCGATACATGGGCGACGGGCACGACAAGCTGTCTGCTTTGGACCACTGCCCCACGAGACGGAGGCCCATGGTGCTTGATCCGGTTCTCCGCGTGCCGACTGGCTGCCCAGCTCAGCACGAACACTCCAAAAATGCCTATAAGGGCGAGGCACAGAATCTTGCGCCCCTTTGCACTCAGAGGGGGTGCGGGTGGGATGGATTCGAGGGAAACCGCCTGCCTGATAGGCATCGTCGCGATTGCTTTGTGTCCTGAATTCGTGAGCTGTTTGAAGACTGAGATAGATTAGGAGGGTAGGTCTGATTGGTGAAAGATGCGGATGAGACTGGAGTGCTTGCCTGTGGTAGACTGTAGTGAGAGAGACCTGATGAGAAGCTCTGCAGAGCTTGCGATGGGGGACGAGAATAAATCCGATGGTGCTCTAATGATGCAATGAAAAGCGTTGGTGGTGGTTACGATGCGTTGCTGAAAGATATAATGTGCGTTATGTTGGGATGCCAATGGATGTTGGGGATATTGGGGATCTTGAAGAGGTGGACGAAAAAAGAGCGACTCCAGAAGATAAAAGCCTATGGTATGTATGTGTTGAGTGCTAAGCGAGGAAGGAGCTGTCCCGAAATGCTGTCTTGACAGTTCAATGAATAAGTGGGAGGAGCGTCCAGAAAGACGATAAAGGGGCGCGTGGACTAGACTGCGGACACCAGCGCAAAATGCGCCTACTTACTTGTACTTGTATTGACAATGCACCCATGAAAGTTGAAAGTTGACAGCGCATAGCTTGTCCTCAAAGGCTTAGCGGGATCAAAGATTCCGAGAGTGATTTCATGATGCATCCCTTTTGTAACGACTTCAAGCACGGAAAGCTTTTCCTGCTTGAGTCTTGACAAATTACGAGTTTCTCTCACCGTCCAAAGCACACTGCGAATAGCACCATCGTATTGCGCTCTTGGAATCGTGTAACAAGAATGCATATTGATTGATTATGAGCACCAGTGACTACCTACATACCATGCGACGGACCACCACTGGGTCCACCCTGACTAGGGAGACTGGGAACCATATTCGACCACTTTGTGGGACTCATGTGCCCCATCTGTTCATACGGAGGCCGAACTATGTAGCTAGAAGGGCTGTGAATATTCCGCATTAACTCTTCAAGCTGGCGTTTCTTCCGGTGTAACTCCGCAACCATCGGCTCGGCCTGCATCTCAAAGCTCGACAGGAGTGCCTTCGAGTCTTCCCAGCGATGGCCAAACGTCCGAAGCGTCTCCTTGATGTGGATAATACAATCGATACTCCTATCAACGTTGTCAATTCCTGCGTTGTTAGGGAGAGGTGGCGGTGACGGAGTGCCTGGAAGGACGGGCGAGTATGGCAAGACGCCATTCAGAAGTGTGTTTGCGCTCTCCGTAAGGACGGACAGGAATTGACCGCCGACAAAATATACACGTAACGCGTCGTGGTAAGTATAGAATGCCGTGTTGACCGGGTCTTTGCTGATGGGGAATATTTTTTGCATGTATGCAATGCTGTACTCGAAGATAAGGGTTTTGCCGTAATTGACCACGGTCCGGACACGGCAAGAAGGGGCTATGCAGTAGACATAACTGTAAAGCACCTCCAGGTCGAAGAAGTCCTTCCAAGCGAGAGGCAAGGCGTCTGGAATTGATTCAGACCATTCTCGCATCTCTTGGCACATTTGCCAGATGTAGACGGAGGAGTTTTGAAGAGGATCGCGACTGGATTTAAAGAGTTCCTGGTACCAGGAAGATTGCAACCGACGAAATTGGAACAGAAGAACGGCGGCCTCTAAGGAATGCGGCCCCATAATGGAGCGCCCAGGAGGACCAGAGGGTATCATGGATGTTACTGAAGGTAAGATGACAGCTGTGGAGTCATCTGTGAACGAGAAAGATCGAGCGTGGACCATACTGATGGACCTGGAACATGTGAGTGAGCACAGTGAGCTGTTACTGGCCGGCTGACATACCTATCAAGAGAATACACGCAATAAAAGATCTTGCGTCGAAGCTCTAAGAGTTTCTTATCGGTCTGCTGCTCTTTCGGCGGATCTTGGTGGAAGCCTAGATCTACAACCGCTCGACAAGCAAAGCCGATCAGGTGCCAGGTATCGAAATGAGCAGGATCCAGCATTGAATATTGCACTAGCAAGATCAGAGCCTGTATTTGTGATACGTAGCCAGGCATGAGGACACTATCAGCGTATCGCAAGGCACGGCCGACCCAGAGGAGGCCGTCTACGTACAAGGCATCCTGATTGCTTCTGGATTGACCGGTAGAGGCAATAGCTAGGACCATATACAGGAGCCAATGTTCGAAATCGGTAACTGGGCGACCGTTCTCCTGGTAAACTGCATCGAGCGCGTTGAACAAGGCCGTCTCGGAAAACACGGGAGAAATGGCGAACACGTTATCCAGGTAATACTGACATAGTGCCATGGCGGTTGTTCTCGGCGGTAGTTGAAAAGGCTGGGATTCCGGTACCGCTTCGTTGTTCGCGGCGGCAAGGATCAAACGTGCGAAGGTCATGTTCGTTGTTGACTTTTCAAAATCGCGGGTAGTGGCATTGACCGAGCTAAACGATCAGATCAGCCCGATTTGGAAGCGAATGGGGCGTAAGTAAATGAATAAATACACTTACAGGAACCCAAAATCCGACACGAGCTCGTTTACGTCGGCCGTCTCCCTTTTCCGAGCCGCCTTCCCGTAGATGGCGGCGCGTATCGTGGCCAGTGAATCTTTGCGATCAGGCATCTCGGTAAAATCAGCGTCGTGCATGGCTACAGATGCTTTCCGAGACCTGGCGTAGCTGATTCTCCTCTCAAGTTTCTCCACACGGGACTCAAGAGACGCGACATAGCTGGGGTAGACAATCAGCATCGTCTCACTGAGGCCGGGTATCTTTTCCACATACCTTCTCTCCTTTCCTTTGGCAAACTGGTCATTAGCACTCGAACACTCTGCTGCTCGCCCTGATTTCTCACAGGCAGTGCAGGCTGGAAGTTTCCCGTCACACTGAGCTATTTGTTAGCCCAACGGCGTCAGATTAGGATTTTTCTCTCGAACCTTGATCTTTGCAGCGCGACCTGTTTACGCAGTCAGACCACAATCTATCTGGGAGTACTTCTGCGCTTACATCTTGAACAAGCCGAGACGGGCCGGGACACTCTCAGCAGAGGCGTATCCGCCGGGCTCTGGCCAAAGCGGTGCATCTTAATACTGACGAAGTTGCTGATCGCGCAAGGTCGCGAAGCTATGAGTTGATTTTGGTGTCTACGTGGTGGGGGTCTCGAATTTCCACGCTTTCATCTTTCCCCAACTGATTTTTGGTGCTGCATCGCCAGGTCAGTCTCGGTTTCGATATTGGAGTATGAGTTGGCGAGTGGATTCCAGGCTTCTCGAAGGAGCTTGGAAATCTCACAGGCCGGGAAGTTCAAGCCAGACAGGAGAAGGTGGCGCCGGCCGTTTCTTTTGGGAGTTCACTGTTCTCTCACCGGCGATAAGACAGGACAGGACAGGACAGGGTGAGACCAAGGTAGGATACGATAGAAGATGTGTGACTTGGACTCACCGGTGCCAGATTCTGGTGTGATCTGTGGCACAATCCGTGCTCTCCTTGTCCTCGAGACCGTTCTTTTCTTTTCTTCTTTTCCCAATTCCGGTCGAGTAAATTGCCTCGACTCGGATTTCCGCTTCACCAGTCCCCGTTCCCGTTCCCGTTCCAGTTCCTGTATCAGACCAGACACCAGACCACGCCAGTCTAGTCCAGTCCAATGCAGCCTCTTCGCAAGTTAATAAATATCTATCTGGGTACGCACTCTTTGTCTCACTCTAACTCTGATATCAGGAAGGGGCGGCGCCTAAGTATATATGTATATGTGTATGTATATGTGTATGTGTGTGTGTATGTGTATGTGTATGTGTATATGTATGTGTATGTGTATGTGTATGTGTATGTGTGTGTGTATGTGTATGTGTGTATATAACTTATCTGACTTACCTATTCACGTACACACTACTACTACACGGTGGGCCCAGAGGTCGGACGTTGTTGGTCTTGCTGGCTCGGGAGGATGCGTGGGTGGTGGAGAGGAACGGAGCGCACTGGCTCGGGGTCTCGGGTCTCGTTTTTGCCTGAGTTGGTCCGAGCTCTCAACGGCTGATGGCTTGCTTGCCTGCTTGCACTTGTTGTTGTTGTTGTTGATGACTGTGAAAGGACACAAGACGGCGGATGATGATATTGAGGAGGAGGATGTTGATGTTGATGTTGATGATGATGATGATGGTGATGGTGGACTGGTGGACTGGTGGACTGGTGGATCGTTAGTTAGATCGTTAAATCGTTAGATCGTTAGATCGGTGGATTGTTGGATTGTTGGATTGCTGGATTGCTGGAGAGCGAGATTATTCCAATCTTTAAAAGCATTTCACGTCCGCCCGTCCGAGGATCATCAATAGATCTATAGGAAAGTCGTCGTTGTAAGTAATTGTACTGCTAAGTAGGGACTGCCAAGCGATGAGGGACATACATAGCCCTGGGGACGGTGGTGATAAAAGGCAACGGGGTTTCTAATTCCGTATATTCGTGTTAATTTCACCGGGCCCCCAAGCCAGGATACCTTCCCGTCGGTCAAGTGATAGCAGGACTAGTTGGTTTAGTTGGCGTAGGTCGTAGTCGTAGTTGTACCGTACGTCTCCGTAGGAAAATTACCCGAGTGCCGGCCGATACCCAGCCGATTCCGATACCGACGCGTGACCAATGCACTGAGTGCGGATGCAGCCGTGCGTGCGCATTGCATGTTGCAGAGTGGGTGAGGGAACATTGAACATTACTAGTAAGTCAAAGTAAAAAGGTGTAAAATCGTGTACAGAGTAAAAATGCGTCGCTCCCCCATGTTCAGGATCATCCCAAATATAGAGTGATGAATGACCCCCAATCCAGACAACACCATTCAGAGCGGTCCAATCTCTCTGCCCTATCCACTTTTATATCAACACTGTACGGAGTAGTACCTGCTACCTACTACCTACTACCTACTACCCTACTATATGCATCATCTAATTACCTCCCGACTTGTAAGGTATTGCTACTATTTACAACTATCTATTTACTTTACCTATCACTCTATCTATCACTCTATCTATCACTCTATCTATCTCTATCTCTCTATCACTCTATCTCTCTATCACTCTATCTCTCTATCACTCTATCTCACTCTAGCCGACCCGTATCTCTCTACCATCACTACTATATTCATACCTATTCTTGGATTCGCCGTGGCCTGACCAGGGGACTCCTGATAAGCACCCCGACCACCTTGACCTTCCTCTTCCTCTTCCTCTTCCTCTTCCTCTCTGTCTTCTCTAAGTTCTCTTATAATAGTTGCAGGACCGGGCCCTGGCCCTGGCTGGCCTTTACGTGCACTTGGCCTGAGCAGCCCGGTCCTGGAAGGAATATTGCTGACCAGATGACAGTCGCGGGGCCCATCCCAGCAGCCAGGCTAGCCCTCCCCCCCCCCCCCCCCAGAATCGAACGACCGACCGACCGACCGACCGACCGACCGACAACGACCACACGGAATGCAGACCGGTTCACTTCGTCTGATGTGAATGCTGCATGTCCTTGACCTTATTATAACCACATTTTATGATTACCATACGTGACTTACCTGCCTGCGTATGTCAGAAGAGCCTCCTGTTCTAAATACACTCACTCGTCGTCTGGAGATTCGTGGAAGCAGCCCTCCGTGGTCCTACCCATTACCCGCTCACTGTCCAATACCCATCATCTTATTACTCTTCCTGCTTACCTCCTTGGGCTGCACAGGGGTCCACAGCCTATGCGCAGAGAAGACCATATCAACCCTCTTCCGGTAGACGACGGTTATGTTTCTGAGCCAAAGCACTGTCCCAGTCTCAGTCTCAGTCTCATTCCCAGTTTCACTCCCAGTCTCAGTTCCAGTACCTAGTAGCATTCTCACATTCCTTTTCCCAGACCATTTAAGACAGAATCGATGGACGCCGCAGACCTATTCCGGCAAGCCGAGACCTCTGTCAACAGGGCCCGAGAAGCGAAAGCCCTACGTGCCCGAGAGAGCAGCCATGAAAGCGACATCGAGCCGTCTCCCCGGATCGCACATACTTTGACAGCATGTTGCCGATGCCGTCAGGTTCGTGGCCTCCTCACACCTATGAGTCCGTCATATTCATCCCAATTCTGGTACTAACCGGAACCCAGAGGAAAACGAGATGCGACCCCAACCTGCCGCGATGCCTGCCTTGTGAGCGAGCTGGCGCAACATGCGAATATTACGACACAAGCAAAGGGAAGAAGATATCTCGCACCTATGTGATCCGCCTTCAAGACAAAGTCCGGGCCTTGGAGAACGAGCTCAGCCAATACACGGAAGACGAGGGATCTCCACAGAACACCGAAGATATCGTACGGCCGGGCGGTCTTGTCCGCCTAGATGAGGATGACGAGACCCCGCGGTTTCTGGGACCCTCCAGTGGTATCGCTATGACAAGGCTTGTCATGGAGGAGGCGAAAAAGTACACGGATTCGAGGAGCATCCGCGAGCTGGTGCCCGAGGTCCGGCAGAGGCGAGGTCCCTTGCCTTCTCCGGAAGCGGCTACGGGGCGAAAAAAATCATACCCTATGATTAGTGCTGTTCCAGCACCGACATTACCCAGTCGTCTGGTAACGGACAAATTGTTGGAAGTGTTCAATCAAAAAGGTGAGTCCTGTTGATAGTATGCCTGTTTATTGGCTAGCGCCCCTGTTGGCGGAGAGGAAGTCTCACGATCTCTGCAGCTCAATATCTGATGCCGACCTTGCACGAGCCAACCTTGCAAAAAGACGTGCAAGAAGTGTACGATGGGAACTCCGACCCTTACAAAAACTTTGTCGTCCGGATGGTACTGGCAATAGCCATGCAGAAGCTAGATACACAGTACGCCGGTCTAGCAGACAGTTACTACCTAGCTGCTATGGTTTACATGGAAGCTGTGATTCGTCCGAAGGATATCAAAACACTTCAATGCTTGGTCCTGGTGGCTATGTACTCTCTACTGACCCCTACTCGGACCGCCATTTATTATGTTGTGGGCTTAGCAACTAAGCTTTGCCAGCAGCTAGGGTTAGCGGAAGAAAAGACAATAACCCAAGGGGTGTCACTTGGTCTGGTCAACCCGCTTCAGCTTGATATGAGACGGCGTCTTTCCTGGATCATCTTGTCAATGGAGTTTGGCCTTGCACAAAGTATGGGGCGCCCAAGCTCCTTTGCGACCGGCCAAGATCATGTAGACGTCGAATTCTTCGAGCCCATAGATGACGAATACATTACTGCCGATGGGATACTTCCGGGGCCGGTATCTGAAAAGAAGACTGTTGCTATACATTTCCTCCGGATGAGACTTCTCCAAGCTGAAATCCGTCGGGTACTTTATCAGAGGAAGCGATCAGAGCCGAAGAGCGAAGACCATCCTTGGTACGCACAGATGGAGCAGAAGCTGAAGGACTGGGTTGAGGCATGTCCTACAAACCCTCCGTGGAGTAAAGACTGGTAATTCACTCCCCTTTCTCTTCGCTGGTATCTCTTCCACTGACAGCGTGACCAGGTTCATAGGTAGACACAGAACTATGATAATGACCCTTTTACGCCCTTCGCCTCAAGTCCCTAAACCCATGACTCGTTCCGCCAAGATGTGCTACGACGCGGCTTCTAACAACATCCGAGATCTGAGCAAGCAGATGGAGACGTGTGTGGTTGACATTACGTGGATATTTGTTTTAAACCTCTTCCAGGCAGTGAATACGATGCTATGGTCAATATCATATCCCGAAGTCCGCGCGTTGCATCCCAAAGACGAGCTGGAGGAAAACATTGATATTGCACTAGGCATTATTGTCAAGTGCAGGGAACGTTGGCCAGGAACAGGAGCAGCCTCACAGCTCTACTCCAAGTTGGCTAAGGCTTGTCTGAAAAGCTACGATACAATGGATCATCTCCAAGTATCTTCATCGCAATCAGTAACCTCGCCAGCATCTCTTACAGACGCCAACTCCCCGTCGGCCTCAGAACAGTCCAGTGCGACCCCCAATTCGATCGCATTTTCTCAAAAGACGTTTTCCCCGACGACTCCACAATTTAGCTACGTTTTCGGCCAAATGCCGGAACCAGTCAACACTTTCCCTCCTCCACCACCAACTTTCCGATCCGGCTCTATATTCGGAACTCCTCCCAACATTCAGACGGACCGTCGCTTCAGTTATTTCCCTCCTGAGTTCACGCACCCTCATGGTCTACCCAATGCTTGGAATCAAGTAGCCCCGAGCCAACAGGTTCAGATGCCGGCGCCGCCACCACCACAGATGGCACACCCAGTCAATCCTGATCCGGCGTACCTCATGCAATCTAGTTCCTTTGCTTTTGGGTCTCATGCCGGGGAAGACCACGACTATCGAAATATGAGAAAAGGCAGTCTCAACCCACAGCAATACGTCGAGTTAATGGAGACTCTCGAAACAGATGGACTGACTGAGATGGATAATTTTATGAAAGTGATGTAGGAACTTTGCCATGGAGTTTGTCAGGGAAAGACAAGCCTCGAGGCGCCTGCAAGTGGCGAAGCACACTCGCCAGCTGTTTTTCGTGTAAGCTACCCGTGGAGCGGAGGAGAGAGACGGTGGGGAGGTTAGTGGTCTTGTTGAGAGAGGGGGCTAGCAAGGTTTCGAGAGGATAGATAAAATCAGAATCCCTCGTACGCCTGCTCCCCGCTGTATGATATTATTGATGAAATAGGTGTATAAGGTGCATTTGGTACGGAGGCATGGAGTTAGAAGGCGGGTAGAAATCGCAGCTGCGAAGCATTTAATTTTAGAGTAGAGGTTAGCGAATGCTTAAGGGCGATACTTGATTTCTCAGCGCGAACCCGGTATTCTAATGAATTACTGTATTGAGATGGGCATGGCTTCCTTGCTCTTTCACTTGGATAGACCTTTTCGATGCCTACGTCGACAAACAAGACGATACCTGCACTTTCCTATGTCGTGCCTGTCTTCCCAGCGGATAATGGAATCTTGAATTGTATATTTCCTTTCGTAGCACTTTCGCAGGATTAGTACTAGCACTGCCCGGAATGCCATTTCCATACGCCTGCGAAGAGAACCAGTAAGTGAAAAAAATATCCAAAATGTTGAAAGACGGCTAGTCAATTTGTTGTACGTTTTCTACACGTTAGTCGACGTTCATTCACCAGTTAATCCGTCCTGCCTCTAATGCTTTATCCGAGTTAGAGCTTTATCCGAGTTAGATATCGGAGCAGGTTTCGCCGCTCCGAGATTTGCAGGAAGCTCTAGAGTAGGAATTTCTTGACATCCCAATCGAGAGAGAAAATAAACAAACTCGTCGCCACCGTGAAGCACTGATTGCAATTACAACCATTGTTTCATACGAAAAAGATAGCAGCTACCGGATCAATGGCGAAAAAGAAGAACAAGAGCGCCACTGTCGGTGATGCTGATGAAGATATCATGCCCGCTCCCCCTACATCATCTGGATCTTCTTCCGCATCGAATTCCAAGCCAAAGGCGAAGACACCGTTGCAGAATGGCTTGATTATTTGTCGCAATAAGTATGTCTTAGGTCTACCTGCACAATCTGCTAACCCAACGAACGGGTCTTGCTATGTTCGCTGTCAAGTCTCGCGCATGTCACCCTAGTATTGCAATGCGCCAGGCTCAACTGCTTCTGCCCAAAATATATTTGTACGCTCAGCTACTAACAATATGTTAGGCATTGGCGCTACATCTCTTCTTTCCACGGCCCATGGCTGCAATTGCCCCCAGAGATCCTCGAGAGTCTCGCGAACAATAACTACAACCTGCCGCGTCCTCGTCCTATAGACCCCGCCGTGTTCTTCGACCTCCTTAAAATCCGACAGCTTGTCGACGATGCCACGAACCTTGCGGTACGAGCTGCAAGTGGAGTCACATCCTCGTCCCTTACAAACTCTTTGAATGCTGGCAATGGGCTCTTGGGGAACGGCGGGGCTGCATTGGGACTCGGACTCGGCGGAGGAGGGGGAAATGCCAAACTGAGTAGGGAGCGGAAGCACCGAATGCGAGAGCAGGCGACGCAGAAGCTGTCCAAGGCGTACCATTTGGATGAGATAGCATGCAGTGTCGCCACCATGCAATCTGCGTCTACGCTCGAGGATGTGGCGCATCTAGTCCTGCAGAGAAACCCGCTGGATGCCGATGCGAAATATGTCCACTTCTTCCATGAAAAGATCCCCTCGCGCCAGCTGGCTGAATGTACCAGTCTTGAGCCGCTAGACGAAGTCATTGCAGAGAGACCCAGTGAGCCCGAGATCTTGAGAACCCGAGCCGTCACAAAGATATTCAAGGAGGATTATGTAGGTGCGGCACAGGATCTTACATTGGCGTTGCAGGTGTGCAGATACCACCAGAACCAGCACAAGGCTGGACGACAACAGCTGCAGCTGGCAAGCGAGGCGGCTGCTGAGGCCCAGCGCAATAGCAATAGCCGGTGGAGAGAGGAGATTAAGTTGGATGAGGCTGATCACCCCAGCAGTTTGGAGACTCAACTCTTATTTCACCGTGCGGGCGTATATCTGACTATCGCTTGCCAACATGTCAACGATGCTCTCCCACCCAGACCAATGAGAAACGGCGCCAATGGAGCAAAAGCCCAGCCAGTCAACGACGATGCCAGCGCCGCGAAAGAGCCTCCCGAGATGACCCCCGCTGAGAAAGAGGCACACCGAAAGCGGCTTGACGCCAGAAAGATTGTCAAGACCAATGCCAAGAGAGCACTGAGAGACTATGTTTCGTATCTTTCGCATTTCGACTACACCCCAGGACTTCCGGCGGAGGTTACTGAGGAATTCATTCGCAAGGTAAATCAAGATACCAACGGCTATAAGATGCCCAAATCTCAAGGTCATAGTAGGCTTGATCTGGAGAGCAATGCCTCGTTGAGCAATGGCCAATTATCAGACGCTCTTGTTCCGCATAATGGCTCGCAGAACCGTAATCGACATCACCCCAGTCCAAACCGATCCGAATACCCTACCCTTCCTCCGCTGGTGGTTCACCAGATGTCGGCCCTGTTCTCAGCAACACCGCCGGCTGATCTCCCACCATATCCCGAGACTGCCCCTGCGCTAACCGCCAAGCAACAGTTGCAAGCAACTCAGAATGAAGCTGCTAAAGCCATCCTTGCGCAGACTGACTGCCACGAAGCCTTGACCTACCACCCACTCCTCACGGATGCCCTCCACTCTCTGCTCCTTTGCCACTGTCTGGTGCAAACATCGGCTCGTGAGCTCCAACGCCACGCTCACATGGTCGCCAGACTTGCTCGAGTTTGCGACGGCTACCCAATCTTCCAGGCAGCTCGCTCCCCTAGTCGCGCAGACTGGATCGAAGTCGTCCGCCGCGGGGACAACTGGGTCGGCCTCCAGCATTCCTGGGAATCTCTCTGCGCCCCGGCTCCTCTCCCTGGCCAGGTCCCTCAAAATCAGCAGAAAGAGACAGCAGCCGAGAAGAAGGAGCGTCTCAAGCAGCAGGCCATCATGGAGGCGCTAGAGGACGACCGGGTCCACGACGAAGCCAGCTTCCACGCCGCCGTCGCCGCCCGCCAGCGCCGCCAGGAGGAAGAAGCCCGCAAAGCGGAAGGCCGAGAGATGCCTAAGCGATGGGCGCAGGAGGATGGCAAGGAGTACCCCATCAGTACTGATCGGGCTCAAGCCATCGTCCGCTGGGTCCGAGAGGCTCCCGTGGGTGGCGAAGCCGGCGGTCCCCGCAAGAAGAAGAAGAACCCGAAGGCGGGCACGAAAGGCAAGGCGCCTGTCCATGTCGAGGAGTCGATGGCTGGCTTGAAGGTCGAGGATGCGGACGAGTTTGAAGTCGAGGAGGTGGTCGAGTGAGCGAGAAGAAGAAGAAGAAGAGGACTGTTGCTCTATGGATTAAAATAGACGTCTTTGTTGGTTATTCATGTTTAGCGGTACCTTACCTTAAAGCAAGGCAAAAAATAAATATCATGTTTGGTACCCCCCACCCCGAAGCGAAGGCCAAAAGTGGTCAGGCCGTACACCTCCCCGTCTCGCCTTTTACGTATGTAGACCAGGCATACATATGTACACGCACGCTACTATTGAAGCTCATTCATTCATTCATTCATTCATTCATTCATTCATTCATTCGCCCTTGGCTGTTTTTTTTACGGTCGGAGGGGGGAGGGCGGGGGTTTGGGGGGGGGGGTTGGTCTAAGAATAGGATGGGAGATAGATAAGTGAGGAAAGGTGTCTAAACACATGCTCAGAATGAATCCACAAGGGTTGTCTGTCTGTCTTCTTTTAATGGTTTCCTTTTTGGGGAGGTAGGGAGGTAGGGGAGAGGGGGAGAGGGCGGGGGGTGTTCATCGTATATATGGCTCTTCATTGGCATTCAGATTGGAATTCGGATTGGGAGTGGGAGTGGGAGTGGGAGTGGGAGTGGGAAATCAGCTCTCGTTGAGATATACCCTTTTTTGTCTTTTTCTTTTTCTTCTTGCTGGA